ACTGACACACGATTTTTGAAAAAGAACATCACAGTAACAGTTAAGCATGGTAGTGGTAGTTTGACAGTCTGGGGTGTCTTTTAACTTTAGGACCTAGACAATATGCCATTGGATATATAGAACCAGGATTTCCGCTATCTAGCAGGTAAAAGCTTATGGAGAAAAGTAAGCCAAATTTTCTTGCAGGGATTTCAAAGACTCTTTACCAGTCACTGAGAATGCTTTTGATGCTGAGAGTAGCACAGCAAGTTTTTATTGTTAGAGGGGTTATATTATTTTTTTCTACAAACAGCAAGATTGGTTTAGATAAAAGTTTAGAAAAAACTTCTATAGTTTTTTTTTCTTTTTTTTTCCCTGTAAGACTTAAAGAAGTAGTTAATTTCCATATTTCCATATCAACAAAGTATTTTCGAATTGTATTTTGTTTTCTTAATACATAACATGTTGATTAGATAAACTGTGTTTCATATTTGTTTGGATTTTGTTTACAATCGTGTGGTATAACTAATTATGTTTAGTAATCTGTAGGGTGACCAAACGTCCGTATTTCCCGGGACATATCCGTATTTCAAAAACTAGATGTATCTTAAAGATACACTGGTATTGGTATTTTTATATATATATTTCCTACATATATATTCTGATACTGTCTTTAAAATCATGTTGAATCATTTATCTGAGAAAGAAAGAAAAATAATACAGCTCATCCAGATCCGTTTTTACACCCTTTTTTTCGTCTCATAAAGGCAAGAATTTGGCTTGGGTGTATATTTGTATTATATTTATGTATTGTTTCTGTGGATGTTGCATTAGCAACATTAGCCTATTAACACTTACCATCTATACCTGCAGCTGAGTCCCTGATTATTGGACTTACCCCTGTTAATGGAATAGAGAATGGACAGGTGATAGCAAGTCAGGCTAACGACTGTGATGATATACAGTAAATACAGGAGGACAAAAATCACACTTTGTGGAGAGGGCGCTCTTGTGGGTTACTCTAATGTGCCCACACACAGGAAAAAAAATAAAAAATAACAGCTGCTTATGCACTTGATTTTCTGGCATTTCTAACTGAGGCCCAACAACAACACACACATTTCCAGGTGATATTTCCTGGAAATTTATCAGATAAATTTGGTCATTTTCCCATTTGATGATTAGCTGTTTTTCCCAGTCATTTATATACAGAATTGCCTGAAAAAATAAACAAATAAATAAACAAACCTGCACTAGTTAAATGACGTAAAGCCTCTGTTAAAGGATAAATCTGGAAACTTCTCATAGAAGCTTGTTTTAAGGGTCTGCATTGGGGTAAAAACTGTTATATTAACATGCATACTTTAAACCTAAGGAATAGTCAGCTTTGACTGAAACGTACATATAAATAGTAAAATATGGGTACATGAAGACTTTTATTCTTTCATTAAATTGAATCTCAATGTTTTATGCATTTCTAAGGATTAGAATCAGAAAATCATCAGGTTTCAGCTGAAAGAGCGAGGTCCTATTTTCATCTCCTTCATCACACTGTGAATATGATAAAGTACAAAAATATGATTCATTTATTCAAGAACTGTGAGCTGCGGCTTTATGTAATTCTTAATGAATAATCTTTTAAACTCGTAGGGAATCTTTAATAAGTGCCATTTCATGAATGAAACACGTTGTGTGGCAAATCATTAACTTTGAAAGCACCCCTGATTGCTTTTGAAGGATTACAACACTTCTGTTTGATTTAAATGGGCTGTGTTAATTTTCCTGGAATTATCTTTTTATTTAAGGGATAAAGCTTAGATTAGAAAAGTGCCGTAAACAAAAAAAGTAATTTTCACCTTAAGTTATTTGGTATTTACCAGAGCTTGGCTCTGTGCTTTCATAGCTGTTATTTTGGAGGCTCAGGTGACACCAGGCAAATGACAGTTATTTATGCCGGCTTTGTCACATCTCTTATCTTTTTTCGATAGAGATCAATCATGACCGTAGGAACAGAAAGATGATTCCTCCCCTGGTAGCAAAATTCTCCCCTTGCAGGTTCTAACTTTTCTGACAATGTCTGAACATTTGTCTCATCACACATCTGACTACTAAACTGTTTAGATAGACAGCACATTTCAACCAGAGAAGACGCACCAACCAGAGTAAAAGAGGCAACAGCACACAAAGACATTTACTTTGACTCGGAGAACTCTCAGGATTTCCAGCTAGCGCATTGATACAAACCGTCTTTTCCAGTCTGAAATGATATCTTCAAATCAGTGAGATGACAAACTGCAACATTCAAGGACTTGAGTGGTTTTCTTGCCAATACACATAACAGACAGAATAATTTCAGGTAACTGAAGAAGAGTTAGGCTCTTGCTCTCTTTTCCTAGCTCTAGATATAGTTAACCATGTAATAAAAACAGTAATACTGTAATACACAGTGTTGTGTGTATTACTTTATTGTCATGCCAAAGTATTTGTGATCATCAAAACAATTTTGATAGTGGACAAAGCTATTCAGACACTAGATCAAAAGTAAAAAAAAGTAAAAGTCCGTCAACCAAATGATGTGGTGTATGGTGTATCGGTGTAGAAACGACAAGCTATCATATTGTTTCACCACTATGTCTGACTGTAGGAATGATGTTATTTTTCTGAAATTTTGCATTTGTTAAATACCAAATGTATGGGGATCCTCACATTCTAGAAATGTTTTAATTTGTTTCCTCAGTCTGCAATATAGTTCCCAAAAGTCTAGAGAGTTTTAGAAAGTTTTGGAAATAGTAGATGAACCTTATATTAGTCCGGTTTTCCAATTCCAATGCCTGGGGCTTTTGAAAGCCCTGGTAGCATCTCCATTCACATTTCCCTGGGTGAATTTTTTGGCTTGGTGCCTCTTGAGACACAGTTCTTTGTTGGCCCTTGAGGGGTGGTTTGTGTACAACTCCAGTGTCTTATCCCACCCATGGCAGCAGTAACCAATGAGGGTTGTCGTACAAATGTATTTCATACCTTACTCTGGCTAACCACGGCCATAACAATTCATAATTTGGTCAATACTTGTTGATTGTTTCACACAAAATGATGTTCTGAGATGTTTTTCAGTACACCTAAAAAATGCCCCTGTATAGTCAGTTTGTCAGCGTTAATTTAAATCTGTGTTAGAATGGCAGAGCCCCGGGTTCAGGCCGCTGTGGGTTGGGTATGGATTGTGATCTCCCAGGCTAACCGTAGGCCAATACATCAGCCATTTAGTTGGTCACTACCCATTAAATAAATCGCACTCTCAGACTGAACTGTAATAACATATTTTCTAAATTACATTTTTGCAGCAGAAACTGAATTTCAGCAAGTAAAAAAAACTAAACAAAATTATACTAGTAAGAATTAAGTTTTATATACCTAAAAAGGTTTACACATTTTAAGCTGCCGTTTTGACATTTATTAGCTTGACTGAATATGTATTTATAATATCTGAAATACATTTTGTCATAGTCAAAAATAATACGAATGCTGACCACTAACTATAGGAATATGGAGATCTGAAATTAATTTCTAAACATCCAGAATGTTTATTCTAGATGAGAAGAACGTCATTTTGTTTGAAATGGTCATTTTGACAAGGACATTTTTTTTTTCAGATATCAGAAATACATGTTCACTAAAACTAATACATATCAAATGTTGTGACCATAATAGCATTATGAGTTTATTTCTTGAATGCTAGTAGATTAATGTACCTATTTAGGTGAAATCATCTGGCAGCAGGTGAAAATTGAGTCAAAAAATGTTCCAATAGATGGAACCTGGTCATTGTCTGATGGGATTCCTCCTCAGTTAATTATGTGTTCCATTACACGCTAGATTCTAAGTGGTTGTTTCCAGCCGCTTTGGATGTTATCATTCCAATAAATGGTTGTTATTAGCGTCCCATAGATAGCTTCAGATTGTGCCAGTAGGCTCAGCAGCTCAGGAGTTTTTCATGTACTGTAAAAATAAATACATTTAAAAAAGGATCTACATCTCGCTCATATTAAACAAACCAAAAACAAATAATTATCATATCCTGTCAACAGAGTCATAGAATCCTCTCCCTATAAATATTTATTTGTCTGTCAAAAAGTGTTGATCATTCTTTAATAAGATCCTCGTCAAACGGACATGCAATGTTTGTTTTTAAAAGCTAATGTGTCTAACGGACCTAGTGAATGATTTTTGTTTTATGCACAAAACCACAACAAAAATCGGACTAAAACTGGAAATAAAACAGCTTGATTGGCTCTAAGGACAGCGGAGACCGAGGACACTCCGAGTTTACTGAAGAAAACCTGCTCCCGACCAGGTTATCTCTGTTGAGAAGGTTTTAGCCCTAAAGGGCATCTTGGTTTGCAGACTATATAAAGTCTTGATGAGTGTCCTGTTGTGACATAAACTACAGTTTGTGTCAGATTCATTTACTGTAAAACTTTTCTTTAGTTAGGCTAGAATGGCAATTCCTGATAAAAAATGTGAAAACTAATTTTTTCAGCCGATGAAATGAATACTTTCTAAAACAGAAATGAATAATTATTTTACTTTGAAATCACTCAGAACAGTCAGCATCTTAAACAATAGATTTTTGTGACTTATCCTCATTGTTGAGGGTGTGAGGTTGGATAATACTCTGCAGTCTTACCTCTAAAATAGGATGTTGGTTAATACTTCTGTATTAATAATATTCTTTAATGATTTTCTTGAAATTCTTGAGTCTTTGAAAATTACCAGAAAAAATATATAGCTAAAAATTATCACTTTGTAACATATGAAGTTCATTTTTTAATTCAAAATAAATTTGAAATACATTTACTGTATATTGATATTGAAATTGATTAAATTGACATTTAAAAGCTCTAAAATAAATTCAAAGAGAGTCATCTCTCATCAGCCAATGTCGGATATAGAAGTGAGGTTTGTGGAGGAAGAAGAAATTGTTCTTTGAAAACTATCATTATCATTTTGTCTCTCTCTCTCTTTAGGTGTCATAAGAACAGCTTTGCCCAATATGGATCGAGAGACAAGGGACCAGTATGTGCTGGTCATTCAGGCCAAAGACATGGTTGGCCAAATGGGTGGCCTCTCTGGCACAACGTCTGTCACAGTCACGCTCACCGATGTCAACGACAACCCACCACGGTTTGCCCACAGTAAGAAACCTTTTTTCTGAGTGCCTACACAGTGCTGATTGAGTTTGTACATGCTACTTTCGACAGCTACTTAGCAATCAGAATAAAACCTCCACATCCTTTTTTTTCTAACTTTTTTTTCCCCCTCCTGGTTAAATAGAGCTCTTAAGATCCATTATCAGTAGAAGACTACTTGAACTAAGAGAACTGAATGGGGGCACTCGATGAACATAATGCTATTAAAAAAAGGATGTTTTTTTTCCCCTCAAAATTTGAAGAAATCACTTTGGAGAAATAGTTTTTCTACCTGATTTTTTAATAAAGAAAAAACAACATGCATTTCAGTCATTTTTTTGTCAAATTAAGTTGCACATTCAAAAATTGTAAGGTCTCTTAAAGTCTTTAAGGTTTTTCCAGATTACAACTTTTAACCTCAAAGAAATGTATCGAAATTTTTTAGAATTTAAATTCAAACATGGAGTGTATTTAAGTGTGATCATCCCCACGTTTTTACTGTTGGACCTAATTTGTCCAAAAATCGCAGCTGCTCATTTCAATTCTGTCTTTACCAGCTTTGCACATTAAAGACCTGAAATGTTTTCCAACTTTTCTTTGCTTCTAACATCAATGTCCAGGCTTTAACAGATTTTTGATTGGATCCTTGAATCAACTTTGACTGGGTGCTAAAATAGAAATATATGTCAGTTTATTTGGACGTTCATATCGTTCCTTTTTCAGATGATGTTACTAAATATTGCCCTGTGAGCTCTCCAAAGATTGGGATGATATTTTAGCACTTCAGCCTGCTATAAACCTTCTTAACAACTTTACAGCCTGTCAACTGTTTTCCTTTGGTTTCAGGACTGTATCTGCTCACACTTTTTCTCTAACAAACCTCCAAGGGCCTTGCAGAACAACTGTATTTATACTGAGAGGAAATCATACACAGCTGGACTCATATTCATGATAATGTGACCTGTGAAGGAAATTGGTTCTCCTGAATTTTACTTTTGAGTATTAAAACACGGTTAAATAATGTAACACGAGTTAAGGGATATGTGTGGAAGAAAAACTACCATTAAACCGACGAAGAAAAAAATTATTAACCAGCTACCTTGCATTTATATTTTTCAGCAAGCATTTTGACTTGTAGAGAAAAGGGGAAAACCAGCCTTATAAAGTGTGCACCTCCCAGACTCATTCTTCATCAAAGAATGTCATTCCTTTTGCATTGGATACTGAGATCAATCAGGTTTCTTTTTCTTCTTTCTCTTTCATTTTGCCGGCCCTTTGCAAAGGCTGCTAATGGCTTCGAGGAAAAGCTTTAGGATTCAAAGGCGTGCAGTGCCTCTCATGATAATCCAGAAGCACAGGCAATCGGTTTACCGCTGATAGCCCAACCGCTGGTCCGGCTGGTGCACAGTCACCACTGGGCTGCTATGAAGCTGAGTCAATTTCCTGGTCCCTGGGGAAAAGAGAGATTCAAGTTTGCACGACAAGTCATCAGTGTCGTTTTAACCCAGTGCTGTCACACTGAGAAGAAAGAGACTTAAGAAGAATTCTGGGGGGTTTTGCTCCTGCTGTTGCGCTCATAGGGTCATGGGTCGAATCGATATGCCATTATACAGCTTCAGAGCAGATTGAATCCAGGAGCAATGCTTAGTTGTTGGAAGGGGAGGGGGAATGCAAGGGCTCAGGATAGACAAGTCTAAGAGGTGGGTGCATGGGTAATAGGATATGAAGAAAGTATTTTTTGGGATCTTTTAAAGAACTGCTATTCCATGGCAAATTAAAAAGCCATTATAAAGATTACATGGTGGCAAACAATGTCAGGCAGATTAGCATTTAGACTGTGGCTGAGGGAGACACTGAGAAACACAGAAAGGTCTGGTAATGAGCTCTGCCATGGTGATTGGGGAGATTATGATTATGAATATGATTCCCTTCTTTATTCTTGTAGGAGTACTTTAAATTCAGGAGGTCAAACAAAAGCATGGAGAACACAATGGGGAGTTTTGGAGTAATAGAATTCTTGAGTGGACATTTCATCCAGTGAAATGTAACAAAGGGATTTAAACGCGACTCCTGTTGTTCCCTTCTTCTTGCATAGACAGCCTCTAAGAGAAGATATTTTTCATTTGACTTCATCCATTCTGCTAAAAGTAAAACTTCTAGAACATTATAATGAAAATAGTCTTGCTCTTCTTATTGGGTATTAGATTTTTTTATTCTCTGCTCTCTACTATACAGTTCTATCATTATTTAACTGGTTTATTAATAGTTTTTTTGAAAACATCATTTGTAAATGCAGTTTAGATACATGCTATTTTCATGAATACATTTTAGCAAACAAATTCTTTGTATGTATATCCCAAAGACGTAAGAACACATCTGACCATTAGAATATCACATTTTCCATCTCAGGCAACACTTTGCTATTATTATTACTCATTATTTCAAGATGTGGTCATTGTAATTCTTCAGCCCTTTCATGGACACTATGGAGGGTCTCTGGCTATAACTGGGAAATATCTTTCTAAATAAAAAAAATAATTACAAAAAATAATCAGATGTCACACTAATGCAGTTACTCTTAATACAAAAAGGGCAAACCGTCTCACATTTTTCCTCTCCTAAAGCATGAAATCTATATATTCTTGAAATCACTCTTGTCCTAGTTCAACAAAAGCTATGTGATCAAAATCTTTTATTTTCTTAAGATATCTTATCATTTTAGACAGAAGTCAACTAATTCAAAACAATTAATTCCATCCAAGGGCGTAGGAATATGTTTACTATTGGGGGGGACACATGTCGGAAATCTGAGATTCGTATTCAACAGAAACATATCTTAAGTATGCTACTTAAAAAAAAGGCTATTTAATCTTTTACTTTATTCCTTTATAAATGTGTCTTGCAAAAATAATGCATTTAAAATTTACATAATGCATTTGTTCATAAGATGTGAGCATATCACCAAACAAAATGACTGGAGTCTTTTATTAAGCAAAGGGAGATGTATTTCAAGGCCTTCAGCCCTTGGCATATTTAGTGTCCGCATACGCACTAGAAAATCAAATATTTCAGTTTGATTAAAAACAATTCACTAAGCCACACATGTGCAAAGTTTGATATGTTTTATTTTGTCAAACTTGCAATAATGGTCAAAAATGAATTTATATAGATTGACTGACAGAGGGAGCTGACAGTGTGTTGAAGAATTATGGACAGGGCGCTTTGAAGCATCTGGTTCAAAAACGCATTATCAACCTTTGGTAGAAATCCATCCATCCTTCCATTTTCTGTACACCCTGTCCCTTAGTGGGGTCGGGAGGTGCTGGTGTGGGGTACACCCTAGACAGGTGGCTAGTCTGTCCAGACCTTTGGTAGAAATGGCGCCTTTAATTCCAATTTGCAGGACAGAACAAAGAAAACTACAGAGTTGTCAATGTTGTGTTAATCTGTTTATCGTCTAAAAAGAGGAGCCAGCAGTTCATTTGAGGAAATAAAGGTGCAGAAGTTAATTAGTTGGTTAATTAGTGGTTGTGCAGTGGACTGCTGCACAACCAATGCGACCGCCGCTGCTAAGAATTAAAATTAATTCTCCCTGTGGTTTTAACTAACGATCAGGAGCGCGGCAGGTATAACATCTGTCAATTTCGGCGAATCAAAACCACGCAAAAAATAAAAAAATCCTCGTTAAACGCACGCCCAGACCGGGCTAATTTCAACACAAGTTGTGTTAGGTGACTGTAACTCACACTGACGTTTCTCTTTTTAAAAAAAATCTGAATAAGTCCTACTGCTGTTTCAGCCTTTTAGTTGGTGGTGGCATTGTACTGAAATGAGATATATAAAAAAATAAAACATTTTGGCTAGCGTAGCAAACATCTAGAGAAAGTTAGCAGTTAAATATTGGATGAGTGATCAGCCCAAGACTACGGAAGAGGATTAGGGCCACTGAAAAAAAAAAAAAAAGTTAAGTGATTTTTAAATTTCATTTCAGTTTAATACGGGAAAAAGGTCAGAATTCTGACTTTAATCTCAGAATTTTGGATCTTAATGTAGATGGGCACCATGAAGGAAGAGATGTGGAGCACTCAGCTTCACTGACAAAGATGTGAGTTGTTTGAGGTGGCCAGTGACACATTGGTGGAAAATGACGGAATTAGGCAACTTTTTACGTGCCCGTGGGGTCCCCTCATTAATGGAGGAGCAGAAGAGAGCTAGTCTCTAAAACAGACATGGCTATGGCTGGATGCTAACATGTTTGTTTTTAAACATACTTTTGTTATATTACATTTGTGTTGTGTTTTCCAAATAATGTAGAAAATGGATGGTGGGTTTATAATGTTTACCTTTTATGAGCAGGACAGGAAGCAGAGAAGTGTAGCATTACCTCCAACTAGTTAAACTCATAATTATGAAGTTATTCAACAAATTCCTCAAGTAAAAAAGTGCAACTTTTATTTTTTATTTCATTTTGTTGTTTTTTTTTTTTACCAGATTTGTTGATTAATTTCAAAATTATGTATTCCTTCCAAATTTCCAAATCTGAAGAATTTTTTAAACCAATATCTACATTATTTAACATTTAGTTTATGTTTTAGCAGTACTTCCTGTTATATTTCTTTATACGTATATTTTACATTTTCTTGCACAGCAAGCTCAGCAGATTTGAAATTGTGTGCTTGTGTAAACACTAGTCAATCTTTACTCTAAACATATATTCTGGTTATTTTTTAGTTAGACCTACTTGTTTTTATGTATCTGTATAAGTACCCCCCGAAAAAAAATAAAAACACTGTAAATTGATTAGAAATATTAATCATCTGTCAGATTTCTGAGAAAAAAGTCAGAATTCTGAGATTAAAGTCAGAATTCTGAGAAAAAAGTCAGAAGAAAAAAGTCAGAATTCTGACTTTTTTCCCCATGTTAAACTAAAAAAAAAATGTAAAAATCAGTTAACTTTTTTTTCCAGTGGCCCTAATCCTCTTCCGTACAAGACTAAGATGACTAAACCAAAAAGATTCAGTTTCTATATATGAAAGTGAACTAAAAACAAAACGTTATAAATGGGCAATATTCATAGCAGCATCCCGACAGACTATTTTACCTCTTTCACAAGTTTCTGATTTCTGTGTCGCCGTTTCCCTCCCTGCTGACTGAGTGCTCAAACACTCAGCAGTTCAGAGAGGGGAGGGGGAGTACAGTGACGTAACGCTATGCTGCGCCTTCAAAATAAAAGCACGCTAGTTAAAAAAATGTCAAAATCTAATATTTTGCGGTACAATTTTGGGGGGGGACATATCCACCTGGCTTTTATATTGGGGGGGACATGTCCCCCCCGTCCCCCCCGCTTCCTACGCCGCTGATTCCATCCATCCTCTCCCACTTATTGTGTCTGGGTCTCGGCGGGTCTGGTGCCTATCTCTGGCAGTCGATGGGCGAGAGGCGGGGTACACCCTGGACAGGTGGCCAGTCTGTCGCAGGTTATCACAGAAACACAACAACCATGCACACACACACACACACACTCAAACCCAGTAACAATTTAGAGAAGCCAATTAACCTAACAGTCATGTTTTTGGACTGTGGGAGGAAGCCAGAGTACCCAGAGCGAACCCACGCATTCACAGGGAGATCATGCAAACTCCATGCAGAAAGACCCTGGAAAACAAACACGGAACAAACTGTGCCATGTTTTGCATGTTGTTGATGGTAAGAGGGCCCAATGGCACAAAAGATGGCCTGAATCATGGCAGCTTCGCTCCCGTCTGACCCAGAACATCTATGGCTACCATTTATCTTACCAGTATCAGCAAGTGAATGTATATGTGTGTGATGGTTATGTGGTTTTGTTACAGTGCAAAGCTTATTTTTCTAAATATTCTACTATTTGATTTCATAAGGGGAGATGTCCCTTTTAGAACTAAGATGCGAATTGAGAAGAGGTTAGGTTTAGGGCTAGATATATTCTTGTAGAGTAATTATTGGGTTTAGTGTTAGGATCAGCATTATGCCATAGCAATTAATGGAAAATGAGTGGAAGTCGATGCAAAGTCATTGTATGAACAAAAAAACGTACAGTAACAGGTGTGTTCCCGTGACTCTATTTGTTGTTGCATGTGTATGCAAGCATGTGCCTCTTGTTTCGTGGACTTCAATCAAAGTTGTTACAGGGTTGCAATGTCATAATTTTTGCACATGGCCCCTGCTCGATGTATAAACTATCAGAAAGAGAGGTCATGGTATAAGTGAGATTCAGAAATACCATTAAAATATTTTTTTTTTTCGTAAGTAGGTTTCTTAAATGTTGTAGTGTTGAGTTTTATGGTCATGACATCACATGATAAATGACCAAACCAAAGGAAAAGAAGGGAGCAATGATCCTGTCTCTGGTTGTCCAAAACAGCTCCAAAATGTCACAATCTCATAATTTACAGTGGATTATGGAATATTTACAGGAAGATTCATTCAAGTAACAGGATTAAAGGGTTATCCAGGTACAAAATTAAATATTGCATTTTTACTGAATAATGAACAGTTAGTGTAGGAAAAAGAATCACCAACTAAAGAGAACCAATAGATGTTAAGGTTAATATCAATGTATAATTTTTTTTTTTGTTTTATAACCACATCTGGAATTTCCAAAGTTAACTTTCACTAGACCCTGCGAGATATGACAAAATAGATGTGTAAACTAATTTATGTTATTTTTCACAAAAAATATTAAATTTAGTACATTTGTTTTTTACACTGAATTAAATGAGACATTTTAATGTCTATGTAAAGCATTTTATATCTAAATATAGGTAAATCAATAAATTAAATGCACAGAAAAAGGGTGCGAGGGACTGAAACTGGGCTATTTCCTTTAAATGAGACATTTAATCTAACTAGTCAATATCTTAGTCATTAATCACAGGTTAACATATGTTTAGACAACTTCCTAAAAGTGTGAGCTGCCATTATTAACCACAGTATTAAAACTACTTTATGTAAACATCTTTTATTTTTGAACTTTTGTCTGCATTTCTGTAAACAATGAATCTATTAAACCTACATCCTATAAACTTCCTTAATTGTTAATCAGTTGTTCATTGGTGTGCACCACTACATGTTTGTATGTAAAGTACAAGTGGGGATGTTTTATTTTATTTCAACCATTTAAATTGCTCCGGCACAATGACCTCTTAGCCAATTTTAACTTAACTGACACTATAACCAAAATAGAGAAAATTACTTTAAACTGAGTTATACCAGATCTATTTTTGCTTAGCTTTTTCACTTTGGTTCCATCTGTCCTGTTGTGGCATTTCAGACTTTACATATGAAGTACAGACTTGCATTTGCCAAGGCAGTTTTGCTCTACAAAAGGCATATCTAAAGACAGGATCCTAATTGAGTGCATGGCTTTTTTATATCCACACTCAAAGTGAGTGTGAGTATTGACAGTCACAGTAGAGAGCAGGAGGAACCATTTTACTCAGTCATGTTTCAAAAAGATAAACTTATCTATAACTGTTCAAGTACATGGTAATAAAATGGTGTGTATACAGATACACCAGTGAATATTAAGGGAATAAAATAATATTGCATTGTTATAAAAATGTACAAATTAACAGAGACTGATTCAGAACTTTTTAGTTTCAGTGTCTTTGCTCCTTTGTGCCTTCCTCTGAACAATAAACATATCATAAACCGTACTCTGTAATTTTACAAATTAGACTCCCCTTCTTCCTGCCAGGACGGCCTCTCACAGAAAAATTTGTTAATATGGCCTCATTCATTCTGTTAACGGCAAAACCCCTAGAACACTGTAAACTAAAATTGTTCTTGCTGTTATAATAGCATAATTTCCTTTTGCCTTCTCTGCCATCTTTACCACAAATTGGAGAGGAAACCAAGAGATTTATGTTCCACTGCCCCCCTGCCTGTTAGTCTAATGCATGAATGTTGGTTTGCAAAAAAATAAGCAAATCCATTACAAACATCCACTCTTGTCCTGCCCTTTCCAGAGAGCTATCAGTACACAGTGCTGGAGTCACTGCCGGTGCAATCTGTGGTGGCCAGAATCAAAGCAGCAGATGCTGATATCGGCTCCAATGCAGAGATGGACTACAGGATCATGGACGGTGACGGGCCCGGCATGTTCAACATCACAACAGATGAGGACACACAAGAGGGGGTTATTATTCTGCAGAAGGTACAGTTCAAAAAAGAGACATGTTGTCACAACAGACACACAAAAAAAAACAAAAAAAGGACCGTTGGTTTAAGTCTGTGTGGGAGTTAGGAGTTATTGCAACTGCATATGGATTCACCCAAACATTGTTTCAAGTCAAGTCCTTATTGTAAATATGTATGTTGTTGTAGCACAAAAAATATTGTAGATTTTGCAAGAGCAAACAAGTTTATTACTGAAGAAAAAGAACGCATCATGATTTTCCATCTACTTAAGCATATCACTTAACACAATTGTTTCATTGTAGCATGGTAGGACATGAAACAATTGTGTTACAGTAACTACATATGCTTACTGTAAAAAAGTATGCATTATTTTTTCCAGTGTACTCTATATGTTAATTGAGAATGTTTGTTTTAAATATTTGTGTTTTTACTCAAGGTTAGACTGGAGATTGATACTGTTTAGACTATTAGTTTGAATACCTTAGAGTAGAACTCTACAAAGTAGCTGAGCACTTTTACAAAGTATTAACTTTATTTTTATGTGGGATTTAATCTTTGTATATGAAAACTGAACACAGAGAGCATGACAAAGACACACAGATCAACCAATTAACCGTGGGAACCCTTTAGATACATTGCATATGGGTTGTCATACCCTTTGAACTCTACCTTTCTACTTTACTCTACTTCACTGCTTTACTCAGAGGCTCCCCAAAAAATCCTCTCAACTGTCTTCCAAAGTTACCCTCTTTTTAGGGCTAGGTGAAATGTCTTGCATGAATGTCTTTCATGCCAAAACCGATTAATCGATTCTTTTTCTACTTAGGTTTCATAATACAAAAATAAAATAAAAAAAGCAAACATTAGGTCTTATTTTATTAATTCCTTGTGGGATTTGAACATTTAAAGGGCAGCAAAATTCCAGGTGGAAAATATTATTGTTTTACAAGCCCTTTTATAACAAACAGTGAATTATAACACAGTAAATGTTTCCTGCTACAGTAGTAGTATTAAAAAATGAGCTGGTTTATTAGTAATGAGAACACCTTCAAGAACAAAAAGTGATAAACTGATGTCAGCCTGTGTTAGGAGGCAGAGGAGTGCATTGGAGGAGGAACTCCAGGCTTTAAAATAATTATACATTCTTCAACAGAAAATGTTCCCCTAGCCCTACTTATCTGAATAGAAATAAGAAGAATTTATAGTTTAATTAACTCTTTATGTGTATTTGTTCAAATATAGTACAACATTACCAGACAAACTTCAGATCTTCTTGGTAAAGGAGTCAGATTTTAGGGTTCTAATCTTGAAATGGTCTCTTCAGGCCTTATGGATGTGACAGCTCTCTGCTGCCTCTTCTTTGTCACACTGATAGAACCATTGTTGACCTACAGGCAGGTTTTGCCAGAATGGGCCAATTTGATCCTTTGTTTGTTCACCACCTAAACTCAGACAAATACAAGGCAGAAAGAGCCTCTGACAATGAATCTGTCAAATAGGTATGCTCAGTATATTATATGCTGCACAGAGAGTTTAATAAGCCAGAAAAAATGTTTTCAAAAGCATTCGTCTTTGTATGCTTTCATCCACGCTCTGAGCCTTTCTTTATAAGCACCCCTAATTAGTTCATTCACGGAAAAAAAGTCACTACAAATCCATCATGAAATCACTTTGTGTGACACTGTGTAAAATATTATGGGTGCTAGAGACGACAACCTTAATTGTAATCAATATCACCACATTGGGTACATGTTTTTATAATACACCAATAAGCTGTTCATTCATCCAACTCAGAAAATGACAGTAAATTTCTGGGGTGTATAAAGGGCAGTTCTCACAGATAAGACCTTTCATGTTTGACAGGTGACTTGGTTCTCTTTGAGCCTGGGAAAGTCTAGACGAGAGATCTGTAACCTGCAACTCCAAAACTGCATTTTGCTCTTTGGAGCCTCTGCAACGGCTCTTAATAGTACCTACAAACAATATAAAGAACTGACTACCAGAATAAAAAAACATATTCTGTTCGTGGAAGCTTGATTGGTTTAAATAAAGAATATTTGAATTTAATTTCCACAACAGAATTACATTAGAATTAATAAAAATATGTTTTTAGAGCAATTTTGCTTTTGACTAGCTTGGAATTGTGCTTTATCAAATATTTTGTGTGCATCAAATAGTATCCTATAGAAGAAAAATCCATGCTTCATCTTTATGATTCATTTTATGTTTTTCCTTTTTTGAAAGTTAAAAATACATTGTTGTTGTTGTTGAAGATGGCAACAGATGCCTTATGGCAAATATTTAAAATTAATAATAGGTTGTGTTTTATTAATAGTTGTAATAGTTTGTAGCTGAAAACTACTTTTTCTTAGCTGGTCTCAGGGCAAAATGGCTCTTTGGATATGAAAGGTTTCAGACCCCGGTCTAGATTTTCAATTGGGTAACTTCCACCTTTGGATAAACATGGTCCAAGGAAATGTCTATTGAAAACATTTGATTATGATTACCTGTTATTGAATATGTGGAATTAAACCCTTGTGTCAGTATCTAAAAATAAAACCCTCCATCCATCCATCTTAAGCTGGGAGGTCAGAATTCAAACAGCTTACTGCTGGAGCTGCTTACCTTTTTCTTTATCTCACTCATTTCTTTTTTTTTTTTCAGGTTTCATATCATACTGTAAATTTGATATGAATATGATATGAATTTTGAAATGAAATAATTTCTGAATATCTGAATTATAATCCTGGAATTTGGCATAAAATAACTGTATAGGAAACTTCAAGTAACATATTTCTATTATTTTATGTCCTTTTATCTTTTAGCCTCTAGATTTTGAGACAAGAAGCGGCTTTGCTCTAAGAATCGAAGCCACAAACAGGAACATTGACTCCAATTTCTTGAGCCTGGGCCCATTTAGCGACACAACTTCAGTCAAAGTTGCTGTGGAAGATGTGAATGAACCACCCCTCTTCTCTACACAACTCTCCAAAATGAATGTTTCAGAGGACGCCAAAGTGGGCACATCTATTGGTAGAGTCTCTGCTCATGACCCCGACACCTCCAACAGTGGAATCAGGTACAAAAGCTATGCTTGTGGGCTGTGCTACATAATAAGTCAGAAATCTGATGGGGAAACTGAAACCTCCAGACGATTTTCTTCCTTTCAAACTAAGTTATGAAATTAGTTCACAGAGTCTTGCACTGAGATAAAGAAGCAACAATTTCCCTAATATGCAAACAAATTGCTTCTCCACATTATCTACAAAGACAGACTCCACAGACCCTTGAAAGTCCCCAGTGTAGCTGTCACAAAGACCGCAGCAGATGGTGGGCGGGCCAAGGAATGCTTGCATTTGCAAATATAAAATGCCATCTTCAACAAGAGAAGGGCATTCCTGCAGGAGGTCAGGGCCTATCAATTGCGCAATGGCATTTATGACTCAAAACAAGCATTCACATAGTCAATCTGTGCAGTGTCACTCTAGAGATGTTCCCCCACCCATTCTGCTCTAATTGAAAGAGTATTGTATGGTATTCATGCTCGGTCTGTTAGGATTGTTAGTAATCTTAATCAGAAAATCTAATTACTCCTCCATTGTAGCTGTAAATTGCCTTTTTTGCCCCTGTGACTGTTATCAGAATCAGCAATATATTTCTCTACATCTGTTAGAATTAAAATTACTGTGGAATTAATGCAGACGCAAGAGTCAAATTACATTGCCATAATACCCCTAGGATATATGCTAATTGAAGCTGTAATTTTCTCTTGAAAAATGAGCTTATGAGTGTTGAAAGGGCTTGATAAGTGTTGTGTGTTGAGGGACAGTTTTCTGTTTTATCAAAAGTTAAAGGGCTTTTGTGCCATCCTAAGTTCCAAGTAAAAACTGTGATATTATTTATGACATTTAAAGAACAATTGGAAAAAAAGAACAATATTCCATGAGGTTTAAAATCAATACTCTAACGTTTGTATGAAGCTTATTATTTTAATGTCACAGCAACAGATGAAAAAGGACATAATCATGTTTTCTCTTCAGGTAAAAGAAACTGCTACATCATAATGTCAAATCAATACAAGTTAATCCGTTTTTTTTAAACATGTCATGTGTAATATAGATAACTTTCTGTGCCTAGGTACTCCATTGACAGGAACACAGACTTAGAGCGATTTTTCAACGTGGACGCTCTGAGTGGGATCATCAGTACAGCAAAGCCTCTGGACCGAGAGGCCAACTCTGTCCACAATCTCACCATTTTGGCCATCGAGATCTGTAAGTTTATAAAAAGCCACAAACAAGTCTGCTCTCAATGTCAGTAAAGTATTTGGGAGAATTAACCACTTATAGTCAAACTCTTAACTAACAATAATCAGCAGTAGCATACAATAAACCCTTTGCTACATCTTGCATTTTTTTGAAGTACATGTCCTTGGTCTGCAAAATACTGGTAGGTTTTGTGCTTTTGCTCTTCAAAAACACTATGAGATTCCATGCTGTTTTTATACTGATAATTAGTCAGGATATCTGGTACAGTAGAGTCTGCAGTCACCAGCTCAAAAGATGCTGAAACCAGTCTGTTGAGCAGTCACCAGCTCAACAGACTGAAGGTGGTCCTGCTTTTTTCTATACAGTGACTGAATTGCATCCATTCAAGATCTGTAAAAATTCCTGACTTCACTTCGACTTGAAGTCTGGCACTAAGAGCTTCGGGAAAAAGGATTTTTCTCATGCAATCAAGGGTGAAAAGGAGGCTGGAAAGTTTAGCTCATTTCAGTAAATGATTATTGTTAACCCCTCTGAGTTACTATAGTGTATAAAAATGCCAGATTTCCATAGTAATGCTGTGAACAATACAAACATCTCATTTGATTTGTTTTCTGAAGTAACACACAAGTCAAACAATTAATTAATGGCTGCCAAACCCACTAACTGAACAGATTATCTTCTCCAGTTGCCCCTCTGTTGTTTTGATCTAGTTGATATTTAGAGTCTACCCCATCCTTTTACAGAAAAATAATTATAAAACCTTTTCAAATGGCAGCACATGACAGTTTCTCTGGACAAAATTGTTTGATTTTTTTTTTTTTGGATTAGCTCCAATTTGATAACAAATGTTGTTAGCTCTGAGTAAAATAATCAAAATCAATTCTGTATATGCCTCTCTTTGTTTTAAAATTTATTTTAATTCACATGTGCGTACAGCTGATAAAACCCTACTTTAAATTGTGTTAAGCATTAAGTGAGTACAAAGCAAACTTTAACTCAGATTTTCTACTTTTCAATGATAACAGTGTAGGGTCTGACTTTGGTTGACTATTATATGAATGGAGGAAATATTTTTCATAATATTTCTGAGAAAAGAGCTAAGCTAAACAGCATGTCTGACAGCTGCAACATCATTACTGGAGGATTCGTATGGCACCTCTAAGTTGATCTAATGCCCCAATCTAAGATCTAAGGGGTTGTGGAGAAGGATTCTTACCATGGTCGTTAATTTAAACAGGAAAAGTTTGAGCTTTGCGATAAACCTGACACTGTGCTTACTGGGCCGTTAAAAAGGTGTTCATGGGGACCATGTTTGCTAGCTATTATCAAATTAGCAAAACAGCCTGAAGTAACAATAGCTCTAGAACAGTCTAAAAAATGGCATTCTTATACTTCCTTTTTTTCCTCCTCCTAACCCAAATGGTTGCTTCATACGGAGCCCCTAAAGGGACAAGGAAGGAAAAAAAAAACTTTTGCGAGATCTTGCAAAGGGTTTTCTAACGTCAGCCAACCGGAAGTAAAACAGTTAAGAAGAACAAGGAGAAGTAAACAGACACAAAAAAATGGCGGCGCAAACAAATTATCCATGGGGAAGGTTTATTGATTTTTATTTTGGTTTGCAGAATAAAAGGAAAGCAAACAACAAGGTGTCCTTGCTCTTCTTATCCCTGCAGCTTCCCCTGCAAGACACAGAAAAATGTACCTCAGTCTTCATAAAGAAGACAGAGGTTTTACTTCACTCCCCCCCATACAAACAGATGGAGTTGTCTATAATTTGAACCTATAAAGTAAAGGGATGATAAAATGAATAGGTAGACATACATATGCTGCTAGGTTACAATAACAGAATTTTTCACGTTTCCCAGAAAAAGACTGGTTGTTTGTGTGAATTTCTAATAAAGACAAAGTACTTAAATCCCCTCAGGAGTACAAATCACAGAAGAAAGGAACGGTTAAATGTAGTTAAGGCATAACTATATTTATTGTATGGAGGTTTTCAGAAGATCCTAATGCAGAGACAGAAGCTGAGGTGGATTCTTGAAGATTTAATGCAGATTCAAAGGCAGCAAAAGCAAAGTCCAAAGACAAAATATAGAAAACTAAATAATCCTGGGAATGTCAGGGAAAACGCACACGGGGAGCCAAGAAACGACGAGGAACTAGCAAACAGTAACTGAAGAGGAGGAGTATAAATGTGAGACTGAACAAAGACGGCTAATCAGCAGACAAGGAGCAGGTGTGGATTGAAGAAGAAAGCTAAGAGGAAAGGAACAGGGCTTCAAGGGGCATCAAAGATCAACCGGGGAAAACGGGGCTTAACTGTAACTACAAAGGAACTTGAATAAGGGTAAAGGGGAATAAAACTAATGACTACAAAATAAGGATTAACCTAGGGGAAAACTAGAGGATAAGAGAAGAATTAACTAAAACTAGACCCAGTAATAAATAATAAGAAAAATTATTTAATTCTTGACAAAACAGAATAACAAAATAAAGCACAAATAACACATTTTAAAGCCTAAAATCTGAAAGCAAAGTAGTTAGACACAAAAACAACCTCTGGTTTCTACAGTATGTAAAGAAACAGTATAGTTGATGGCAGCAACAGCTCTGTTAGTGCCTTTAACAGGAGACACATGGATAAACATAACCGATCAGAGCCAGTGGTAAAATCTATGACATTAAGAACAGAGCACTGTACATAGCAGAGATAATCGCTGAAAAAGCTCCTTCAGTACCTTTGTGTGGCACAAAGAGACATTGTTATTCTCTCTGGTGAACTTCAGTCTGGTCTTCAATAGTGAAAGCAAAGGTTTTCTCAATGCTTACCTTACACGAAAGGTAAAAGTCTGCAGTTTTGTTCTAATGGTAATGGTATGCAGCTTCAGATGGACAGAAAATGCATGAGATCACGTGTTTACATTTTAGAGTTATTTTCTAATTTTTTATTTTTGCAAGACTTTTTAATGCTGCAGTAGACTTTCAGAGTAACCTTGCCTAGAAGGCCAGACCTGTGTATGTTGGCAGTTCCCTTGAACATGCTTTATTATAGACCATATCCCATGCAGTAGAATAGCTGATTTTAAATTCTCTTCGGACTTCTTTAAATCCTGTACCAGAATAACAACTTCCAATATTTTTCTTTCTGAAGTGTCTCAGACAGCTCTATCAATTTGACAACTACTCAACATATACAAACCAAAAGCTTAATATATAGGGTTTGAACAAGAAAGAAAAACCATGCTGTCATTTTATTGACCATTTGAGATAAGCATGTGTGAGACTTTAGCCATTTTAAATGTAAATATATTTTTGGCAGTCCACATTTATCCCAAATAAGTAGCTCCATTGTTTTTCCACAAATATTGATAAATAAATAAAATATGCTTTCATAGCTTTTTTTTAATAACTTTTAGTATTATTAAAATAGTTTATTATTAGCCATATAAGTATGTAAGAACAAATTTTTTTATAGTGTTTCTTATTTTTTTCACGAGACTCTGTTTTAAAAATCTTACAAACTTTAGGATTATGATAATGCTGGTAGAAAAACGGTCCGGTGTGCTGCCATGTCATTTTTTTTTTTTTTTTACCTCTCTTTAAACGTAGCTGTCCGTTTATTACACCATGTACTCACTTAAAATTCTGTCGTTCTCTCTCTTTCTACAAAAATGCCCCCCCAGGGTTTAAAACAGTGTCATTTAGCCTGTCAGTAAAAAATCTTTGCTCCTCTCAGACTTCCTAATGCCCATTAGTCTGCAGAACAGGGGAAATTACAGCACATAGTTGCGACGTTGATGCACAGCTGTCAGGGAATGTTAATTTCCACGCAGGACGGTCACTGTGACCTCCATGTCTCCCTGAGTTGTGGGGACGAGATGCTGACTAAGGGCAGACCGTCTCACCCACGGGTGAACAATGTTAATGTGATGTGAAGAAGTGCTGCATGCCTTTTTTTGTTAATCTGTCAATGCTACAAGGACATGAACACCTTATTTCCTCTGTGCTTTTTCCGTCCCTTCATTTAACTAGTATTACACTAACATAATGGACAACTATCATCAGCACACATCCTACTGAGAACTTGATACAGCTCCATCACACCAATATCAGTTAAAGAAGCAGTCTTTTAGTTCCTCTGCTTTTATATCTTGAAAGAGAACGATCGCTGTGTAAAGGCTGCTTAGTCTTTTCAAAACCTTTTATTCTTCTCTGCTTCAAAGCTGTGTTTTTATTTATGTCTCATGGCACATAGATGTACTTCTTGGTAGATTTCAGGAGTGCTGCCTAATATAGCACAAGAGAAAAGGCAGGATATAATAATAGCCATATGAAATGTCACAACAGCCCCTCATGCGTGAGGTACTGACTTCTGACACACAGTGATACTCATACACTGTTTTCAGCTAAAATAAAATCTTTGATTTGAAGGACTGCCGCTTATATTCCCTGGCCTGCACAGTCTTCTGACATTATTAATAGTAAAAGTACTCTTTGTAGCTAAAAACAGGAGCAAGTTCGCTTCAGCTGAGCTTTGTTGAGCATTTGAGCTGCAGTCACTCACATTTCATCCTCTCTTCGCTACGTCCAGTCCATTCCAATGACAACAAGTCTGTGGCCTGAGGCTCTGTGCGCCCTTTTTATCACCATCAAATCAGCCACCCCGAATGTCATACCGTCATCTCTGGCCGGCATCATGGCGACGCCAGACTAAATTATCGTCTCGCACTCAGACTCATTTAGCCATCAGTGCGTGTCAAGCAGACAAAGGCGTGAAGCCCACTGTGGAAGATGGTTCACACACATGGATTTTCCCGAGAAGCCTTTACAAAGGCTAATCTTTCAAACTGTTTGACAGTGGATTGGTCAACAATGCCAGCTGTCTGAAGTAACTTGGAAATGACAGTGCAGCACACATTTGTGCACTTTCAAGCTTCCTTGAAGTTTTTTTCCTAATTGAAATCAGTTTAAAAATAGTTTCTTTACCTAAAAGGGAAAATAATCCTTGTTGTACCTCTTCAGTTTTTTTTTTTTTTGCAATTAATTTATCATCTCTAGAAAGGAAGGATGTAGTGTAGCAGCTTTTCTTACAGCAAATATTGAGTACCCTCTGACTGATGACCCTCTATTGTCATTTATATGTGGAGAGATCTTTGTAAGATTCTTATTTGGATTTCCTATAAAGATTAATTTTGCAATGTCAGCTTAACTAAACACAATCTATGGTGTCATAGATATGTTGACTAACATTATCTTACAATATAATATGCTGTTGCTCAGAGGTTTCCAACACCAGTTCTTGAGATCTCTTCTTTTATACTGTAATTCTAATGAAAGATTATTTTATCAATCTGTGATCAAGTTTAAAGAAAGCCATGTAACAAGTTACTGATATTAATCAGGTTTACTGGAGCAGGGATGCATTTATAAACTGAGGGGCAATAGCTCTCAGGGACTGCAGTCGGAGACCCCTACCAATACAACACCTAATATCAGTATCAAACTCGTTTTTAAACACATTTTTTCTTTTGAAATACTAATCTGAAAATAAAAAATGAAGACCCAAAGCTCTTCTTCTTTCTTTTTCTTTGCAGTGGATCCAAACCAGGTTGGCAAAGGCATCGCTCTGATCTCGGTGCGGGATGTAAATGATAATGCCCCAGTCTTTGCAATCGACTATGAAACTCTCCTGTGTGAAAACTCAATGCCGGGACAGGTAAGACCCAGAGACATCTCTGTTGTCAGCCTAGCATCCTTTCTTCTTCTTCTTCCTCTTCTTCTTCTCTCTAAGCTCCCTTGAAGTTTGACACACAAAGACAGCCTGCTGAGCCTCATAGCCATTAACACTCTCCCTCCCTCTAAACAACTACATTGGGCACAGAGTATATCTGCTTTGTAGTTTAGGATTATGCAAGGGGGACTCCATCATTAATAGGAGACACAACCTCAAGATTTAATAGCAGGACATGTGGAAGTTCCTCTTCATTAGAGAAGTTTCTCATTCACTTCCTCATCACTGTTGCAGACTCTGCCATTGGCCTTTTTCTACAGTTATTTGCCACATTTCATGATGTGCTAGAGTGGTGTTTTGTAATAGTTTGATGATAAACTTAACAAAAGCAAGAACTGGGTGTTGGTTTCATTGTAGAAATAATATCAAGTGAAGTGCTGTCTACTAGAAGAGAAGTAGGGTGTGGTTGAGGGACTGGGTGGGGGCAATGCAATGCTTGGACACATTTACTGTGTCGAAGCATTGCATTTTTCCCCAGAACATTTTGCCTCATTTTTGCTGAATGGCTTGTGTGTTTGTAGTGGTCATTTTTCAGCTCTTGGCATTTGGAAAATACAATCAGAGGCAAAGGCTAAAGAAGGCGGGCATGCCTGAATACATACAATTGATCAGAATGATGCATTTTCATTAGAAGTGGTTATTAGGCCATTTTGAATGTGTTATTTGCATCTTTACTTTGCAGCTCTTTATCATTGACTCTTGGTAGCATTGCCAAAAAAAAAATAGTAAATGAGTTTATTTAGAAAAAAAAAGAAAATTCAGTGCTATATGTATTTTTTTTTCTGTGTGCATAATGTTTAAATTATTGTTTCAATCTAAAGAGGGTAAGCATCCTTGCAGACCTAGAGGGTGCTGGAATTTGGTTATTATATTATGTGTTGTAATGAAAATCTCAGTCTTAAAATGGAAAATTAGGCACAGATTTGATCTATATTGCCTAGCTTAAAATGATTACATATTTAGAACTTTATTATAATAATACCACAAACTGCTACAGTGAGGGAAGTTTTCCCACTCAGAAGTCATGGAGGGGTCTGAAATTGTCATTGTAGGTGCATGTCCACTATGAGAGACATAATCTAAACAAAAAATCCAAAAATCACAATGTATGAACTTTTAACTATATATCTGTATGAAACAGCTGCAAACAAGTATTTATTTGATTTTTTTATTTATTTATTTATTTTTTTTGGGGGGGACATGGGATGTTGATGGGGGGTTTAAAACAGTTGAGGATCTCAACAGCTCCTGAGAAACGGATACACTAGAATAGGATTGTGCCTATAATCCAAGAATTAAATCCCATATTTCGAGAATTAAGTCCCTGCTGAAATGTTTGGACATTTTTACAGCCTAGTTTACCAGCTTAACCTGAATGCAGCATGTGCATCATCTCTCATTGATGGGTTTTCGTCCAGTGTACATCGTACAATTATGGAGATTGTGTAATTTGCATTCGACAGGTAAGCATTAGGACATAAGCTGACTTCACGGTTAATTGTGATGAATACCATAAAACAATTTTGATTAGGAAATGCGGGAAATGTATTCTGAATCCAGATTACTTAACTAGATCACAATATTTTCAACAAAAATCCACAGATCCGACTATAGTGGCGTATTGTTTGAATAAGAGCCTCTCCTAACAAAATCATTTCATGGAGATCTTATTGTATTAAGCCTAAACAGCTGCTTAGCCTTAAGAAAAATATAATATCAGTGGAGTAGAAGAAGAAAAAGGTGAATTCAATCTGGTTATGGAGCGTAAAGATTGAACTTTGGAGCAGTAGAAAAAGGTCATGCGGTCTGATGAGTCCAGATTCGTTCTGTTCCAGAGTGATGGTTTCTTGGGGTAGGAAGGCCAGTGGAGGAACCGACATATCCGTCATGCCTAGTGTCTACTATACAACCCTCTAGGGCAGTTTTATGATCTAGAGTTGCTTTAAGAGTTCAGGGTCAGACTACTGTATGTGAATTTAGCATGACAACAGTACTGACAAGACATTCCCTCTGTTAGTAGATCTAAGATAATAAATAAAAATGTCTGTAAACAATTGACATTACTGTGTAGTCTATGAGTAGTATAACTAAATATGATTAATTGGTAACCTAAATGAAATTACATTTTGTGGGGTTTTTTTATAGATCCGGTATGCTAAATGAACTGTTGAAAAATCCTAAGCTTAAATTCAATGGGGCAAATAATTTTGTTTTTTTGTTCTTAGGATCCAGGATTATTTGCAGCCCTAATAATCACTGTAATAAAGAATTACATCAGTGAAAAAATGATATAAGCAATAAAGTAAATTTGTTTCAGTAACCCAGTTCACTAAGTGAAACACATTATATAGATTAATTACACAGAGACATTTGCTTTCAAGCCTTTAGTTTTCATAATTATGATGATTTGCTGCTTAAAGCTAATGAAACGTGACATTAAACATTAGAACATTCATCAGTACCATAATAAAATATTTGTAATACAGAATGTGGGCTTAATGCAACGTTTTTTCTTTCCATGCCGCATCATAGGTTGTCATTTTAAAAGTTACATTTAATCCTAAATTTACCTTAATCAGAAAGCATTTTTCTAGCTGATTGATTGTTACTATGCATGTGCTGACCACTTTATTAGGCACACCACTTCAATTTGTTCTTATATATAAAAAAAAAAAAAAAAAAAATAGGTCAGTTTACAGGGGTTGGGATTCCTATTAGTTTTTTAAAACACCATTTTTTTTCGTACCAGACAGGTTATTCTGAGTATTTCATTCGTTTTTCTCATCAGATTTTCAGGTATTGGTTTTGTGGATCTAATTACATTGTTGTTGTCAGGGTTCAAAGCGGTATGACTTGTTTCAAAGGATATAAATGTAATCTTATTTTAAAAATCTTTAATTTTTTATGTCGCATGTATGACACTGCAACTTACTTTCTTCTCTTTCTTCTAATATACACTATATTGCCAAAAGTATTTGCTCACCCATCCAAATTATTGGAATCAGGTGTTCCAATCACTTCCATGACCACAGGTGTATAAATTCAAGCACCTAGGCATGCAGACTGTTTTTACAAACATTTGTGAAAGAATGGGTCGCTCTCAGGAGCTCAGTGAATTCCAGCGTGGAACTGTGATAGGATGCCACCTGTGCAACAAATCCAGTCGTGAAATTTCCTCGCTCCTAAATATTCCACAGTCAACTGTCAGCTGTATTATAAGAAAATGGAAGTGTTTGGGAACGACAGCAACTCAGCCACGAAGTGGTAGGCCACGTAAACTGACGGAGCGGGGTCAGCGGATGCTGACGCGCATAGTGCGAAGAGGTCGCCAACTTTCTGCAGAGTCAATCACTACAGACCTCCAAACTTCATGTGGCCTTCAGATTAGCTCAAGAACAGTGCGCAGAGAGCTTCATGGAATGGGTTTCCATGGTCGAGCAGCTGCATCCAAGCCATACATCACCAAGTGCAATGCAAAGCGTCGGATGCGGTGGTGTAAAGCACGCCGCCACTGGACTCTAGAGCAGTGGAGACGCGTTCTCTGGAGTGACGAATCGCGCTTCTCCATCTGGCAATCTGATGGACGGGTCTGGGTTTGGCGGTTGCCAGGAGAACGGTACTTGTCTGACTGCATTGTGCCAAGTGTAAAGTTTGGTGGAGGGGGGATTATGGTGTGAGGTTGTTTTTCAGGAGCTGGGCTTGGCCCCTTAGTTCCAGTGAAAGGAACTCTGAATGCTTCAGCATACCAAGACATTTTGGACAATTCCATGCTCCCAACTTTGTGGGAACAGTTTGGAGCTGGCCCCTTCCTCTTCCAACATGACTGTGCACCAGTGCACAAAGCAAGGTCCATAAAGACATGGATGACAGAGTCTGGTGTGGATGAACTTGACTGGCCTGCACAGAGTCCTGACCTCAACCCGATAGAACACCTTTGGGATGAATTAGAGCGGAGACTGAGAGCCAGGCCTTCTCGTCCAACATCAGTGTGCGACCTCACAAATGCGCTTCTGGAAGAATGGTCAAAAATTCCCATAAACACACTCCTAAACCTTGTGGACAGCCTTCCCAGAAGAGTTGAAGCTGTTCTAGCTGCAAAGGGTGGACCGACGTCATATTGAACCCTATGGATTAGGAACGGGATGTCACTTAAGCTCATATGTGAGTCAAGGCAGGTGAGCAAATACTTTTGGCAATATAGTGTATATGGCACTTTTAAGTGTACAGACACTAAAATGTGCCAGTTAAACACATCTTGCCTTGCCCAAACAGCAAAAAAGCAAATCAAGTAGAATACCATCTTTGAATGCATAACTCGTCAAACCTTTAAGTAGACTGGTTACAGCTGGACCACGTAACACTCCTTTGATCATGGCAATAAAGGCTATGATTTTACACTGGCCTACCAAAGTTAAGATCATAAATAACAGAATTGAAAAAAATACCACCAGATCTTATGTGTCTAGATTTTGGCAACATTCATATTTCTCAAATTTGTCATAACCTACATACAACCATCAACATGTCTTGCTTTTTATCAATGGTTCAGGCTGATGATGGGAGACATTTTTTCCAAGTTTATGACAATTGTGTACCTATTATCTGATAAATACTTACAGCAGGATAAAACACCAATATGTTCAGTGTTCTTTAGTGGCTTGCACAGTCACAAAACCTCAATCTAATACTGCGCCATTGTGGTGTGGTTGATATGCATCATAAATAAATAATTGAAGAAATCTTCTGTAATCATATGATGTTCTCAAGTTAATGTGGTCAAAAATCTGTTGGATATGTTTGCAAGACATTGTTGACTTAACGTCACAAAGAGTGAGGGTGGTTTTGAAGACAAAAGGGGATTTGAGTAGATAATAGCCACTGGCATTTGCATTTATTATGCAAATGTAAGTTTGGATGAGATAGAA